AGGTAAAGGGCATGGAGTGAAATGGAGACTTTAAATTCTAGAATCCAGAGGCCTTAGCAAATAACTAATGAGGGATAGGTGCAGGGAAGATAACTGAGATTTTTATTCAAGGTAATTGAGAAGGTGGTGCCCTTTACTGGGAATGAGGGAAAGAAAATGACCAATTTTCACTTGTCTCTTTTTTTTAAGACTGAATTTCACTCTGTTGCCCAGGCTGGAGTGCAGTGGCACAATCTTGGTTCACTGCAACCTCTCTTTCCCAGGTTCAAGCAATTCTCCTGCCTCAGCCTCCTGAGTAGCTGGGATTACAGGCCTGGCTAATTTTTTGTGTTTTTAGTAGAGATGGGGTTTCACCATGTTGGCCAGGCTGGTCTCGAACTCCTGACCTCAGGTCATCCGCCCGCCTTGGCCTCCCAAAGTGCTGGGATACAGGTGTGAGTTACTGCATCCAGCCCAGTTGTTGTCTTTGACACACAAAAAGTTCCTACTTTATCTTATTCAATTTTATAAAAATCAGAATCGTCAAAGACTTAATCACTTTTCTGAAACGATTTGCATTTTAAAAAATTAGTTATTGAAGGCTTAGGCCTATGAAATTAATGAATACTTAATTGAGAAATTTCAGGCTTTAGAGAGCAGTGGAAGATGCCTATTTTTGGTGCTAGGAGGATCGGTGTTCCAGAAATCCTGGTAGTCACCTCATTGTAAGCAGTGTTCTCCCTAATATTTTAATTTAATTTGATATTTTTGAGGGGGAATAGTCTAGCTATGTTGCCCAGGCTGGCCTCAAACTCCTGGGCTCAAGAGATCCTCCCACCTCAGCTTCCTGAATAGCTGGGATTGCAAGCACACACCAACATTCCTGTTTACACACTAGTGTTTTTAGATTTAAGCAGATGGCCCGACTACATAAAAAACAAATCATGAAGGCTCAAAACATATAAAAAGAGTTAAGTGCAAGCTAATTGTGGTGGTGGGTGATGTAATCCCAGCTATTCCGCAAGCCAAGGTGGGAGGATCTCTTGAGCCCAGGAGTTTGAGGCCAGCTTGAGTAACATCGCAAAAAACCTTGTCTCTTAAAATAAAAAAAAAAAAAGAGTTACATGCTATGAAATATACTTTGAAACAGTTAATAAGTTATCTAGGATGTTTAATGACTTATTGTTCATCAATTGGGTAATTATGTGTAAAGCAAGCAAGCAGTTCACATGACTAAGTGCATTAATATTGCTAGAGTACACTAGACCAAGCTTTTTGTTTGTTATCTTTTCCATGTCAATTTGTAATTAGTGTTCCCTAAAGCCACATATAGTTGAATCTCTCTCGTGGTTGTGCGTGTGTGTGTGTCTGATTGAAAGGGAGAGTTAGGGAGTACACTGTCTCTTCTGAGTAAACGTAGAAGGCAAGATCTCCTGTCAACAATTTACTGAAGAAATGTGGATTCAACAATATTTACGGAGCATCTCCCATGTGGGTGACACTAAAGGGTACTGAGAATACCTGAATAAGACAGTCCCTGACCTGATGGCATTTAACGAAATAATTAGGGTTTGTGCTCCCTGCTCCAAAGAAAATAGTCAAATGCCATTAAGGGAAATAGTGGGAGGCCAGCTTTGGATGAGGTAATCGGAGAAGACCTTTCCCAGGAGGTGACATTTGATCTTCACCCTGAAGGGTGAAATGTGGAAGGAGCCTTCCTAAGAACCCAGAGAAAAGCATTTCAGGTTGAGGGGAAAGTAAGCAAAAAAAACCCTCTCAGGTGGAAAAGAGTTCTTGCAATTGGAGGGAAACCATTGAGAGAGCTGAGTCGAAGGGTATGCCATTTTATTCTGATTCTCTGAGGGAAGAACCTGAAAATCCTCTAGGCTAACCCCTTGTTTTATGCTAGTCCTTATTTCATCCCATTATTGATGCTTGAATAACTCTTTAATGGAGAATCGATGGTGGAGGGGGTCCAATTTTATCTTCAGCCGCTGGAATTGTTAGAAACTTGTATCCATTGGGACGAAAGTAATCTCGAGTTTTACCGTTACTTTCAGTTGCAAAAACGGCAATTTTCCACCAACCTAAATTAAGCTGCAAATAGATTGTCCCTCGAAAAGAGTATGCTCTTGAATGGACACGTTCTGCAGGTGTAGTCAGGGGGTAAGGGACAGGGCAGATCATCCTGTTTTGACCCTGTGCTTTGAGGATATCAGATTAAGACTGAATTGACCTTCAGCTTTTTTTGTGAGCAACTAGATTTCTGGGCTTTCCAGGCAGGCTTTCCACTTACCTTATTATATCGAATCCTTTTAGATTCAGTGTTTTGTAATGTGTTAAAGACTCTCTGAGGATCCCATTTCATCTTTCAATGTCTCAGTCATTGTTGTAGCAGTAGCTTTGCGCGTCTGAGACTTAACAAGTCAGGAATGCTGTATCCACCTCATCTAGGCCTTTCATGAAAACCTTGATGCCACAGGCTTTTGAGAGATTCCTTTGGCAGGTTATGGCATTAATTAATCAGTACCTTTTGGGTACAGTCAGTCAAGTACCCATTACAAATTTCTCTAACTTGCTCCTTCTCTCAGCTTGTAATGCCCCTTCCTCCCACTCCCGCCGTCTTGCCTAAATAGGAATTTTCTTCTGGGCCACTGTGTCCTGTTTCTTTCCCTTGTTGCCCTTATAGATTTGTAATTATTTGTGTGATGCGTATTTCTCCCAGCAGAATCTATATGCCTTTTAGACTGTATATAGGTCTAGCATGGGGTCTGCACATAGGATGCACTGAAGTAGATATTGAATTAATGAGTACTTTGTACTGTCATCCAACCCATTTCTTCTTATAGTCCAAAAAAAATTCCATTATATATCTTTCAGATGATTTGCTGAGTCCATACTTACTTTGTCAAATTCTTTTCATTTTGTTATTTTAAAAGCCTTAGTAGTATGAATTATATGTGGTAAATTCATGCCAGTTTCTAATTTTCTTGTGAATCAACCTCCTAAACTCACTGCAGTCTCCTGCAGATGTTTCCAAAATTAAGAAGATAGTTCCTGCTTTTGAGATATTTATACTTAAAAGTGGCAGCAGTGAATGCAAATATACATTTCACAATAATGTACAATAATGCAAAAGTAGGAAAGGTCGTGGATGGCTGGGAAGAATGTTGGCTTCTTGGAAGATAAGATGTTATCTGGGCCTAACATAGATTTCAGGAGAGGGGATGGCATTCCAGACGTTAAGCATGAACAAAAGATTCAGATCTTTCTAACATCTGTTATGACTGAAATTCCTTTAATGGGAAATTAAAGTTTTTTATTCCACAGTGACTCATATGCAAAATATCCTTGAGAGTATATTTTGCAGATATGGTGAAAACATAGGAACCTTCAGTTTCTTGGTAATAGCTAGATCCTTTCCTGCTCCCGGTAGAAAGGCCGTGGAAAGGCCTTGGAATGCCACAGTGATCCTTCTAGAACTTCAAGAAGTGAAATTTGGCCTCAGTTTATTTCCAGCAAGACTTGATTAAATTCTGTCAGGGAGGAGACTTGCAGAGGATATTCTTAATCAATGGTTTACCGTGTGATTTTCGTCAAGATGTTGAAGAGTGTGGAGTTTTGTAACAAGTTTGGATTCCTGCTGGTGATTTGTTGAATGAATACTGCTGGTCCTTTCCATCTATTTTACAGTGTAATAATACAGATAATACAGATAATGTGTCATATGAAATGGCATAATGGAAGAATTGAAATTAAATGTGTTTCTTTTGCAGCATTAGCAAATATTTGTTGCACAGGAGACACAGACGAGCAGCTAAGTATCTAACCTCTCTGCCCACTACTAAAACAAATTCAAATGATTTTTTTTTTTGTTTGTGTTTTTTTTTTGAGACAGAGTCTCACTCTGTTGCCCAGGCTGGAGTTGCAATGGCATGACCTTGGCTTACTGCAACCTCCACCTCCCGGGTTCAAGCGATTCTTCCACCTCAGCCTCCTGAGTAGCTAGGATTACAGGCACCTGACATCAGGCCTGGCTAATTTTTGTATTTTTGATGAGGTGGAGTTTTACCGTGTTGTCCAGACTGGTCTTGAACTCCTGACCTCAGGTGATCCACCCACTTGTGCCTCCCAAAGTGCTGGGATTATAGACATGAGCCACCATGCCCAGCCTAAAATGATTATTTAGATATTTCTTTAATTTTGAATTAAAATGAGGAAAGTTATAGTTTAGAACAGTAGTTCCATCATCCTATCTGACCTCCCTACTCAAATGTTTTAAGATCTTAACTCACATTAAACATCTAAGAATGTATATTTTCTTTTTGTTTCATGTCAGATGGGTAATGTGCCTCCCTCATAAGAAGATTTGAGGGCGGCACATCTCACATGTGAGTGTGAAAACCCACGTCATCATGCTTATGAACTACAAAAGGTCTATGTGTTTTTTTTGTAATCTGATTTTAACTATTGGAAACAGATGCTCAGTGCTGCAAAAGAAAAATTAGCACTGAGACAAGATTCTTTCAGCAACGCAATTTGTACTTCCTGGACTCCAGGAAGGATACTCTCGATAGCCATCTTGCCATGAGAGTACAATGAGCAAAGGAAAGCAGGCAAATTTATCCCTTATGCATTTGAGATTGTCCTTACTGCTGTGTCTGATCTCAATTGGCTGGAGCCAGACCTCACAATCTAAACTAAAACCCAGTTGGCTAACAACTTAAAACTTTTCTAAACAGGTAAAAGCAGTGGAGAGCTGGGACATGCCTGTGAGCACATCCAGCACAGACATCTTGGTTAGAGCACAAGGACAAAGAATATACTACATGCCTGTAAGCATGGCATTCTAACAGCTACATAGGGAAGGGCTTAACAAAGAGTTATTAGCATACTTAAGATTTATTCTTTAACAAGAAAAGGAAACTTTAAAGAGGAATGTTTTTGTTTGCCACATAACTCACAATATAATAGTATACCCACATGAACCTTGTATAAAAAAGGGTAATTAATATTTTCAGGTCCTGTTCGACACAGTGGAGGCCATGGGAGAAGACTGTTTATCATCAAACCTACTGGATTCTATGACAAGCGTTTTTTGAAGTTAGCAGTAAGTTTAAATTTTTTGTTGAATTGAAGTCTTTGCATATAACAGGGGGAAAAATTTTGCTTCTTTACAAAACATTTTCATTTTATGAAATATTTTATTTTGTAAATTTGAAGATACTGAGATTGTAAAGTCGATTTGTTACTGAATTTATTGTTAAATTGGTGAATCTTTCCTTCTGCACAAGAGTTTACACTAAATGGAGGTAAAACTTGAATCGTTTTTTTCTTCTAAAGATTATAAAGTTTTAAAATATAATCTGTGTTCCTGTAACTAAAATAGTCTTTAAATTACCAGAGAACTTATTGAAACACTTTTTTAAATAAAGGAGCTACATTATTTCGGGATATGATTTTATATTTATATGTTGATTTCAGACAGTAACAGGGATCTATAGTACAGTCTTAGGTTAGCCGTAATACGTTGCTTATGTAGAGTGCTGACTGTGTATTTGTATCTCAAGGCTGTATAGAAACAAAGTAGAGACTTAGAACATGGGAGCTTGTCTGGACCATCTGCCACTGTTGATAAAGCTCTGAGTCATCATTTGAGTCCTGACCTTAAAACCTTCTCTTCTCTCGCCCTTCCATTGTGCTTAATGCCCTTTTTCATTTCCTTGGCTGAGCTCTTACTTTTCTTGTTATGACCAGCTCAAATCCTGTTTAGTGGTAAAATCCCCCTAATCTTTTTACACTTTTGTTCTTGATATATTATTTTCTTTCATGGCATTGCTTGACCGAAAAGTAAAATCGCAGAAATCAATAATTTGATACTCTGTATGCCCAATTTGGCAAGTTTATTTTTACAAGAAATATAAGGAAATCATATCATTAGGATGATTTGTGTGCAGGGAGAGTTATAAAATGGTCATGAGAAACACTTGTTTATTTTTTATCTTAGAGATTCTACGTTTTCTTGACGGGGATTCCAGTGGCAATTATCATAACTCTGGTGAATGTATTCATTGGTAAGTCATTTCCATCCCCTGCAGCACTACCAAATTGGAAAAAATTTTAAACATAGGTACATTTATATATATATATAAAGAATGGCTATTATAATGAGAAGCTCTTTAAATAGTTAAATAATTATAAGCATGGCAGTTTATCTTAAAGTAACCAAATCTTGATCTGAACTAAGAATTTTTTAATCCATCCTAGAACATATAAAATAGAAAATATAATCCTCTAACAGTAAAAATGTGAATGACAGTAAACATTAGATTTTCATGGGAAATTCTGTTCAAAGTACTTCTAACACCTTGAATCCTAAAATATTTTGTATCATAGGTATAGGGAAGAGCAGAAGGAATAATACCTGTTAAATCTTGTTACAGTATATAAAAACAAAACGGGAAACTCATGGAATACCTATAAATAATGCCTTACACAGAGAAATGTTTTAATATGTCTAACAAATGAATTGATTTTCAACCAGATTAAAGTTAATTAAAAATATTAGGTATCTTCATTGTTACAAATTTTTTAAGGGATCCTTTAAAACCACAAGAAGTTGGTTTCTTATTTTAATGGTGAAGAATTAATTTTATAAACTCCTCATGCTAAAATTGAACATAGCTTTTTTTTTCTTATTAGGTCAAGCTGAACTAGCAGAAATTCCAGAAGGCTATATCCCAGAACACTGGGAATATTTTCAGGTTTGTATAGGACATTGACAGTTACATACTGTCACTTATCTTGTCAGTACATTAGTTAATATCTTTTTTTTTGAGATGGAGTCTCACTCTTTCGCCTAGGCTGGAGTCAGTGGCATGATCTTGGCTTACTGCAACCTCTGCCTCCAGGGTTCAAGTGATTCTTCTGCCTCAGCCTCCCGAGTAGCTGGGACAGTAAGCGCCCGCCACCACACTCAGCTAATTGTTGTATTTTTAGTAAGAATGGGTTTCACTGGTCTCGAACTGCTGACCTCATCATCTGCCCACCTCGGCCTCCCAGAGTGCTGGGATTACAGGCATGAGCCACCGTGCCTGGCCTAGTTAATATCTTAATTCAGCAATTATGATATAGTCAGGGTTTTGTTTTGTTTTTTGTTTGTTTTCTTTTTTTTTTGAGACATGAGACAGCATCTCACTCTGTTGCCCAGGCTGGATCACCAGAGGTCAGGAGTTTGAGAACAGCCTGGCCAACATGATAAAATCCTGTCTCTACTAAAAATACAAAAATTTGGCTCACTGCAACCTCCGCCTCCTGCATTCAAGTCAGTCTCATGCCTCAGCCTCCCATGTAGCTGGGATGATAAGCTTGTGCTACCACTCCTGGCTAATTTTTGTGTTTTTAGCAGAGACAGGATTTCACCATGTTGGCCAGGCTGGTCTCAAACTCCTGACCTCAAGTGATCTGCTTACCTCAGGATTACAGGCGTAAGCCACTGTACTCAGCCGTGATATAGTTTTGGATTTTGTTTTTTTATATCAAGTAGATACATTTTTTTGCATACTTTTTATAAACAACATATTTTGGTACTTCATTTTTTAAAAAATCATTTTAAGCTTTATTTATTTATTTATTTATTGCGACAGAGTTTCGCTGTTGTTATCCAGACTGGAGTGCAATGGCATGATCTTGGCTCACTGCAACCTCCGCCTTCTGGGTTCAAGCAATTCTCCTGCCTCAGCCTCCTGAGTAGCTGGGACTACAGGCTCGCACCACCATGCCCAGCTAAACTTTTTTGTATTTTTAGTAGAGACGGGGTTCACCTTGTTGACCAGGATGGTCTCAATCTCTTGACCTCGTGATCCACCCATCTCGGCCTCCCAAAGTGCTGGGATTATAGGCGTGAGCCACCGCGCCCGGCCAGCTTTACGTTTTTTTTAAAGGATGATTGCAGTGTGTACCTAACAGAGTAACATAATTTATTCTAAGTTCAATGCCTTAGGAAAAATTTCACCAATATGAATGCTAGCTGTCATTTATTGAGCACCTACTGTGTAGCAGGTACTGTGCTGAGTATTTTAAAAATATTTATTATTTCATGCCATGTAAAAAGTACTATTGTTATTCCCTCTTTGGAGATGAAGAAACTGAGGCTAGAAGAGTTACGTGACCTGTCTGGAGAGGGTCACTGTTTCAACCCAGGCAGCCTTGCCTCCAGAGCCTGCTCTGTCGGTCATTACCCCATACCCCCACTGCTACCAAAATTTAAAATTTATTTTGTTACTTGTTTTTACAAATTTGTAGTGAGATAGCCTTGAATAGAGTGTGTCCCATCATGTTTTATTATCTGAATGAATTATATTTTAAATAAACATCTTAAGGTAAACCATTGAATCTTAAGGCAAAACTTAACAGTTAGTTTGTTTATGCCAACTGGTGCAAAGAGCTCCATTTCTGAATCACCAGAACCTGGGTTTGGCTCCTGAATCTGCCACTGAAGACACTCAGCTTAGTGTAATGGAGAAGCACACACAGCTCTGGAGCCAGACAGACGTGGCTTAGTCCAGGCGCTGCCACTGACTAGCTCTGTAACTTTGGGCAATTCACCCATCTTTAAAATGAACAAAAATAGTATCTGTCTAACCTATTAAAATTAAGTTTTTCATATATATAAAGTAGTTGTTAGGTAGTAGATGTTATTGGTTTATCTAACTGAGGTGGTCATTTTAAAGAATAATCAACTAGAAAAGCAAAGTATTATTCAGAAATGGACGAATTTTAAATGAATTTTCTCTTGTAGCATCCCATATCAAGATGGATTGCCCGTACTTTCTATGATTGTCCTGAAAAGGATTACGAAAAAGCAATGGCCGTCCTTCAGATTGAAACTGAAAAGGCTGAATTACGGTAGGAAAAAAGCAGGGGGTTGGGTGGGAAAGAAAATCTTTTCCTAGGGTTGCAAACCACCAGAAGAAAAAATTACTAAAACTAGCAATATTTCCATACTATACGATGCTTTATGTAAACGGATAAAGATACGTACAGGCACAGTGGCTCACACCTATAATCCCAGCACTTTGGGAGGCCAAGGTGGGTGGATCACTTCAAGTCAGGAGCTCAAGACCAGCCTGGCCAACATAGTGAAACCTTGTCTGTACTAAAAATACAAAAATTAGCTGGGTGTGGTGGCGCATGCCAGTTAATCCCAACTGCTCAGGAGGTGAGGCAGAATAGCTTGAACCCTCAAAGCAGAGGTTGCAGTGAGCCAAGATGGCACATTGTACTCCAGCCTGGGCAACAGTACAAGACTTCATCTCAAAAAAAATAAAGGGTAAAGATAGGATTAGCTCATTTGAAGTGAAAATTATAAACTGGTGACAAGGAGACTATTAGGAGATATCTGTCAGATTAAAAGGAGTTCTTTTTTAAATTAAAAAAAATTTTTTTTTGAGATGGAGTCTTGTGCTATTGTCCAAACTGGAGTGCAATGCCACTGTCTGGGCTCACTGCAACCTGCGCCTCCCTGGTTCAAGTGATTCTCCCGCTTCTGCCTCCTGAGTAGCTGAGATTACACATGTGCACCACCATGCCCAGCTAACTTGTGTATTTTTAGTAGAGACAGGGTTTCACCATGTTGGCCAGGCTGTTCTCAAACTCCTGACCTCAGGTGATCTGCCCACCTCGGCCTCCCAAAGTGCTGGGACTGTAGGCGTGAGCCACAATGCCCAGCCTAAAAAAATATTTTTTTAGAGTGGAAGTCTTGCCCTGTTGCCCCAGTTGGACGGCAGAAGAATGGATATATCCATCCAATGACATATATAATGTGGCCATTAAAAAGAAAGGGAAAGCAATGTTGATTTTCTTTCTTATATTTTGTATACATATTAAAAAACATACATTTTTCCCCTCCTCTTATGGTGCTAAGTTACCTGTGTTTGTTGTAGTTTGTTTTTGGGATGGAGTCTTGCTCTGTTGCCCCAGCTGGACTGCCATGGCGTAATCTCAGCTCACTGCAACCTCCGCCTCCTGGGTTCGAAAAGATTCTCCTGCCTCAGGAGCTGGGATTACAGGCATCTGCCACCATGTGCGGCTAACTTTTGTATTTTAGTAGAGACACGGTTGTGCTATTTTGACCAGGCTGGTCTAGAACTCCTGACCTCAGGTGATCTGCACACCTTGGCCTCCCAAAGTGCTGAGATTGCAGGCGTGAGCCACCACGCCCAGCCTGCAGTGCCCATGTGTTTTGACCAGTCCCCTATTGCTAGTACTTGGGTTCTTTCCCGGTTTTTGGTATTATACATTTTGTGGTGGTGAATCTCCCTCATATTGTTTGCATATTTATGTAACGTATCTGGAAAATAAATTTCTGGAAGTAGCATTGATGAGCCAAATAGCATATGCTTCTAGACTGGGTAGATGTTGCCACACTCTTCTTGGAAAAGTTGCACCAGTTGTTTTCTTCATCAGTTTCCATGTTTCCGTTTTCTGTTTCTCTGTAATGGAATTTATCAAACTGAAACATTTTTGCTGATATAGTGATTGAAAAATGTTACCTCATCATTTCAATTTTATATTTCTTTGTAAGGTTGAATAGTTTTTTAATATATCTATTAGTTGTATTTCTTTTCTTTCTTTCTTTTGAGACAAAGTCTTGCGCTGTTGCCCGCGAGTAGAGTGACATGATCTTGACTCACTGCAGCCTTGATCTCCTGGGTTCAGGTCATCCTCCCACCCAGTCCTTCCTAGAAGCTAAGATTACAAGTACATGCCACCATGCCCAGTTAATTTTTGTGTTTTTTGTAGAGACAGATTTTGCCATGTTGCCTAGCTGGCTCAAACTCCTGGGCTCAAGTGATCCACCCTCCGGGGCCTCCCAGAATGCCGAGATTACAGATGTGAGCTCCCGCACCTGGCCGTGTGTATTTTTTTCTCGATAGATAGGTCGTCTTTTGGCAGTGTAGAAATTTTTGCAACATAGAAGTGTTTTTACATTTTCAGATAACCAATCTGTTATAGTAGCTAATAACTTTTTTTTTTTTTTTTGAGACAGAGTATTGCTCTGTCTCCCAGGCTGGAGTGCAGTGGCGTGATCTCGATTCACTACAGTCTTTGCCTCGCAGGTTCAAGTGATTCTTCTGCCTCAGCCTCCTGAGTAGCTGGGATTACAGGTGACCACCACCTCGTCCAGCTAATTTTTGTATTCTTAGTAGAGACAGGGCTTTTGCCATGTTGGCCAGGCTGGTCTTGAATTCCTGGCCTCAAGTGATTTGCCTGCCTCAGCCTCCCAAAGTGCTGGGATTACAGACGTGAGCCACCGTGCCCACTGCTAATACTTTTGAGGGCATTTTATATCAGTGTTTTAATTACTTTCTATGTATTTACTCATTTAATTATTGTCAGGTTTGCCAGTCTCTAGCTTTTGGGATTTTGTGTCATACAGAGATCTCTGATAATAATTAAATCAGTAAGTACATAATTCCAAAGTTATGTTTTTAAATATTCACTCATATTTTTCCTTTTCTTTTTCTATTTTTTGAGACAGGATCTCACTCTGTTGCCTGGGCTGGAGTGCAGTGTTGCAGTCATGGCTCACTGCAGCCCTGGCCTCCGGGACTTAAGCCATCTTCCAGTCTCAGCCTCCTGAGTGGACCATAAGTGCTGGCCACCATGCCCAACTAATTGTTTGGTTTTTTTGTTTTTGTTTTTGGTAAAGATGGGATCTTGTTCTGTTGCCCAGGCTGATCTCGAACTCCTAGGCTCAAGCAATCTTCCTTCCTTGGCCTCCCAAAGTTCTGGGATTACAGGCATGAGTCAGCTTTCCCACTCTGTTTTTTGTTTGTTTTAATTTGACACAGAGACTCAATATGTTGCCAAGGCTGGACTCGAACTCCAGAACTCCTGCAACCCTCCCACCTCAGCCTCCTGAGTAGCAGACATGTGCCACTGCTCCCAACTTACTGTTTTTTAATGAAATAGGAAGGTGCTACGTATGCCTATTTTATACGTTGCTTTTTTTAAACATAAAAGTATATAATCTCCTCCTGTGTTATATAGATTCTCCTTTTAGCATGTACATAATAGTCCATTATGTGGATGAATCATAATTTATTTAAGTAGCTAGTCTCCCGTTGATTAACATTTTAATTACTCGTAGTTTGGGTAGTTATACTCTAAAGAGTAGACAAGAAAGGCGGCGTTATTTAATCCTTCATAAAAGATCAATAAACATGCCCTTCTAAATACACCATCACAATGGCATATAATCTCCCGTAGGTTAGTGAGCTGGTTAAGGTTAATAAATTGACAAAAACTGTGATACATTTTTAGTCCTATGAAGAAGCAAGTCTGTATTCTATAAAAACAGAAAGTAAAAGGTTTGATGGAGAAGGGACTACTTCAGGAATATGTGATCGTTTGTGCGAAGACTTAGGTACACAAGAGAGCAAGCACCTATATAAAATAGAGATGATTCAATTTGTGAAGAAGGACATGAAAGCAGACATTAGAGTTGGAGAATGTTTCTCTTCATCTTGATTTTTCTTGTTTTCTGTTTCTCTTTGTTTAAATATCGACTGAGTGCGTGGTGCTGACCAGGCCTGATATAATGCTGGTGAATAAAAAACCAATTCTACTCTCAAAAAGTTTTTTTCCTAATGGTGATGGGCAGACAGAAGATGTGAAACTCCAAAAAAGCTTATTCCTTTTTTAATTCCTAGCACTTGCCACAGCATATGGCTATACAGGAGACATTCCGTACATGACTCTCCTAGCATCTAAGAGGTGAAAAGATAGGAAAAGCCTCGCAACAATTCAGATGAAAGTGATCTGTGCAGGCACGGCGGAGGGGAGAATTTGTTATCAATTGTTTTGGTGTTAAAAACTGGTAGCTACCTATATAAGCAACATAACAAAAGTCAAAAATAAGTCCCAAATCTTACTTATAGATATATACCAAATATATGCCTGCATATTGGTTTTGGAGGGGCAGTATACTTTACATAAAAGCAAAGACTAGTGGTTGTTCTTGATGGAAATGGCTCATTAAATTTATAATTGGAAGTGCTGAATTAACAATCTTGCTCTTCCATTTGTTACAGGTTAAAAGAGATGAAAATACGAAGATTAATGCGTGCGAGAGGAGATGGACCCTGGTATCACTTTGACACAGTTGATAAGGAACTTATTGATCATTCTCCAAAAGCAACTCCTGACAATTAAGCATTTTTTTCTCTAAATACAAAGTATATTCTCTTTATCGGAAAATAAGTTAGTAAATATATTCTGTATTTTTGTTCTCCGTAACAAATAAAAGAGCTTCTGACATTCCTGTTTCTCAGTGTTGGTTCAGATTAAAGCTTTTGTTTGGGGGGTTTGGCTTCCAGTCCCTGAAGAACGTTTAAAATGTACTAATAAAAACTGGAGAACTAGGAATTTGTGAACTCCTAAAGCTGCAGCAACTTTGAAAGGTAGTGTTTCGTTTACCTGACAGATGGAAGTTATACAAGTCTAATTATGTCAAGCACCAGTCATTACAGTATTTTGTACAACTGTCTGTATTGAAGGACAACTTCGGATTTTAAGTTCTATAAAGTATTGAAGCAACTCTAAAATTTTAACTCCTTAATAAACAGATTTTTAATAGATGAATTTTAAAGTTTATGATGTTTTCATGTCTTTTTTAGCCATATATTCTTTTTAAAACTGCACATATATATACACAGACATGTACATACACACATACGCTCTTTTCCTAGATGCAATCTTGGGAATCACTTAGAGTTTTTTGTACACATATTACCTAGTCCACTAGGCAATGAAACCCCATTTCTACTAAAATACAAAAATCCAGGTGTGGTGGCATGTGCCTGTAGTCCCAGCTACTTGGGAGGCTGAGGCAGGAGAATTGCTTGAACCTGGGAGGCGGAAGTTGCAGTGAGCTGAGATCATGCCATTGCACTCCAGCCTGGGTGACAGTGAGACTCCATCTCAAAAAAATAAAAAGTAAAAAAAAAACATTTTTTAACATTCTTTTCTTTCTTTTTTTGTTTGATAGAGTCTTGCTTGTTGCCCAGGCTGGAGTGCAGTGGCATGATCTCAGCTCACTGACACCTCCACCTCCCAGGTTCAAGCAGTTCTCTTGTCTCAGCCTCCCAAGTAGCTGGCGTTACAGGTGCTCGCCACCGCACCCAGTTAATTTTTGTATTTTTTAGTAGAGACAGGGTTTTGCTATGTTGGCCAGGCTAGTGTTGAACTCCAGACCTCAAGTGATCTGCCCGTCTTGGCCTCTCAAAGTGCTGGGATTACAGGCATGAGCCACCATGCCCAGCCAACATTATTTTCAAAATGAGTTATGAGGTATTATATTACTCTCTGAGTATTTCACATTAGAAACCTGAGGCAGATTTTAAACACAAACTCAATATTTACAAAAATACACATTTAAAACATTGACACTTCAACTTCCAAAATGGCCTTTTAGCTTAAGCCTTCAGGATTTTCAAACCTGTAACAGCTTATCAATGCATCTCATCTTAGAAATACGTTTTAGGTTCTTTATGAAAGTAAAAATGGATCCAGGTTTCCTAAGATTCAGGCCAGTGTGTCTCCATTTAAGGCCAAATGGAGAAATTATTTTTTGCTGCCTAAACAGACAAATGAATTGAAAAGCTGTAGGCCATTCATTCAACCAATACTTGTATTATTTTTATTGGTAAGTACTCGTACATGTATGTTATTTTGATGCATGTATGCAACGTGTAATGCCCAATCGGGGTATTTAGGACATCCGTTACCTCAAACCTCTCCCTTGTGTTAGGAACACTTATTTTGAAATATACTACAAGTTATTGTTAACTATAATCTACCTACTGTACTATCAAATACTAGAACTTATTCTTGTTTTTTTTTTTTTGACGGAGTTTCGCTCTTGTTACCCAGTCTGGAGTGCAATGGCGCGATCTCGGCTCACCGCAACCTCTGCCTCCTGGGTTCAGGCAATTCTCCTGCCTCAGCCTCCTGAGTAGCTGGGATTACAGGCACGCACCACCATGCCCAACTAATTTTTTGTATTTTTAGTAGATATGGGGTTTTACCATGTTGACCAGGATGGTCTCGATCTCTTGACCTCGTGATCCACTCGCCTCGGCCTCCCAAAGTGCTGGGATTACAGGCTTGAGCCACCGCGCCCGGCCTAGAACTTATTCTTGTATCAACTGTATTTTTGTATCCATTAACCAACTTTTCTAAATTTTCTACTCCCCCCTTCCCTACCCAGCCTCTGGGAACACCTTTTTACTCTGCCTCCATGAGATCCGTTTTTTGGTTTTTTTTTTTAGGTCTCACATATGAGTGAGAACATTCCATATTTGTCTTTCTGTGCTTGGCCTATTTCACCTAACATAATGACCTCCAGTTCCATCCACGTTGCTACAAATGACAGAATGCTGTTCTTTGTCTTAGTATTGTTCATGCGTATCACCTTTGCTACATCCATGTATCCATTGATGGACACAGGTTGCAGAGGGATTGCTGGATTAGATGAGAGTTCTATTTGTAGTTTTTGAGGAGCCTTCATACCATTCACAGAGGTTGTGCTGCTGCATTCCTACCAACAGTGGGTGAGCATTCCCATTTCTCCACATCCTCACCAGCATTTGTTATTTTTTCCTTTTTTAAAATGGCCATTTTAACCGGGGTGAGATGGTATCTCAATGTGGTTTTGATTTACATTTCCCTAATTATGGTTGAGCATTTGTTTACGTATCTATTTGGCTAGTCATAGGTCTTCTGAGAAATGTCTATACAGATTACAGATCTTTCGCCTTTTTTTTTTTTTTTTTTTTTTTTGAGATAGGGTCTTACTCTGTCACTCACCCAGGCTGGAGGCGATCTAGGCTCATTGCAGCTTCCACATCCCTGGCTCAAGTGATCATCCCATCGCAGGATGACCCGAATAGCTAGGACCATAGGCAAGTGCCACCACGCTCAGCTAACTTTTTTGTATTTTTTGTAGTGACGGGGTTTTGCCATGTTGCCCAGGCTGGTCTTGAACTCCTGTGCTCAAGTGATCTGCTCACCTCAGCCACCCAAAGTCCTGGGATTACAGGTGTGCCTGGCCTTTTTGTTCATTTTTTAATCAGGTTATTGATTTTTTGTTTTTTGTTATTAAATTATTTGAGTTCCTTATATATTCTGGTTATGAATCCCTTGTTAGATGGTGTGTTAGATTATTGTGTTGCTCTAAAGAAAATCTTGAATCTGGGTAATTTATAAAGAAAAGGTTTAATTGGCTCATGATTCTGCAGGCAATTAAGCGTACAGGAATCATGGCACCAGCATCTGCTTAGCTTCTGGGGGGGCCTCAAGAAACTTTTACGCATGGCAGAAAGCAAAGCAGAAGCAGGCACATCACGTGGCGAGAGAGAGAGAGAGAGAGAGAGAGAGAGAGAGAGAGAGAGAGAGAGAGAGAGAGAGAGGAGAGACAGAGAGAGAGACAGAGAGAGAGAGAGAGGTGGAGGAGGTGCCACACCCTCTTTTAGAAAACCAGATCTCTCCAGAACTCACTATTGTGAGGACAGCCTAGTGGGACCGCGCTAAACCGTTAATGAATAATCTGCCGCCCTGATCCAATCCTCTCCCACCAGGCCCCACCTCCAACAACACAGGGAATTACATTTCAACACGAGATTCGGGGGACAAACATCCGAACTCTGTCATATGGATAGTTTGCAAACACTTTCTCCCATTCTGTAGGTTGTCTCTTCACTGTTAATTGCTTCCTTTGCTCTGCAGAAGCTTTTCAGCTGACACAATCCCATTTGTCTGTCTATGCTTTGTTGCCTGTGCTTTTGAGATCTTACCCAAAAAAATCTTTCCTCAGACCAATGTCTTCTATCATTTCTCCAATGTTTTCTTTTAATAGTTTTATAGTTTCAGGTCTTACATTTAATATTTAATCAATTTTGAGTTGATTTTTATATGTGGGGAAAGATGGGGCTCTCATTTCATTCTTCTGCTTATGGATATTCAGTTTTCCCAGCACAGCTTGTTGAAGACACTAGCAGCTGTATGGGATCCTTTGTGGCTTTGTATACATTTTAGACTTTTTTTTTCTATTTCTGTGAAGAACGTCATTGGTGTTTTAACAGGGATTGCACTGAATCTGTAGATTCCTTTTGGTAGAAAGACATTTTAACAATGTTGATTCTTCCAATCCATGAGTATGGGATGGCTACCTTTACATTTTTTGGTGTCCTCTTCAGTTTCTTTCGTGAGTGTTATGTAGTGTTCCTTGTAGAGATCTTTCACTTCTTTGGATAAATTCATTCCTAGGTTTCTGTTGTTGTTCGTTTTGTAGTTGTAAATGGGATTGTAGCAAACACTTTTTGAGTGTCCACTATATGCACTTAATACAGCCACGGTCCTTTTGGGTTGCTGAATTTTCTTATTTCCCCAGAAGAGGGATGCCATGCCCAGCAACTCCCAGATATTCTTTTGAGAATTCCCTATGCAGTCTATCACCTCATAATTCTGCCAAAGGATTCGGGAGAAGGGCATATTGTCTCTAAAGCCTCCGCTTATGCAAACCAGCTTTGTAGAAGAGGGATAAGGAGAATTGAAGCAGATAGCACTTGTACATGGTGATAGTAAATGATACCAGATCTATATACATTTATATATTCATGCTGAAAAAATAGCCTACAGATTGTTTTTTGACAGTAGTAGGTTTTACCTTATGTTCTCTTTTCTACTATTATAAAGGTAAGAAAAGCTTAGGATAAAAACATGGAAAGTATACAATAAATACTGATAATCATAATACTCATAAAGACATTTCAGAAATTTCCTCCAGGCTTTATTTAACACAGCTGGGATCATGTATAAAAAAATGGGATCATGTATAAAAAATGGGATGCCTGTAATCCCAGAACTTTGGGAGGATGAGGCAGGCAGATCGCTTGAGGTCAGGAGTTCAAGGCCAGCCTGGCCAACATGGTGAAACCCTGTCTCTACTAAAAATACAAAAAAATTAGCTGAGTCTAGTAGTGTGAGCCTGTAATTCCAGCGTCTCAGGAAGCTGAGGCAAAAGAATTGCTTGAACCTGGGAGGTGGAAGTTGCAGATCACAACACTGAACTCCAAACTGAGTGGCAGAGCAAGACTCTGTCTCAAAACCAAAAAAAAAAAAATAAAAGTAAAATGAAATAAGGTTGACTTTTTTTTTAAGTTGTAAAGTGTCTCTTTACAACTTTTTTTTTTTTTAATCTGGTGTGAAAGGCTCAGGGAGACAATTCTTTTTATTGTCAAGGGCCAAGAAACAAAGTGTAGAAATACTATACACAGTGGTCATAAGCTACAAGATAGGAGTGAGGTGGAGGGGAGACGTGGTAACACGGCATTATTCTGAACGAGCTCCAGCTCTTCATTCTAACACTTGAACCAAGGACAGACAGCTGTCCTTTTTCAGTAAGGCTGAAGCAGAATGCAAATGTGACTCAGTTTATCAGCTCCCACAGGGCAGGCAGTGCAAGAGGCTATTGTAAGTTGGCTTTGGGAGCCTCCATCTCAAACACAGAGTGGATGCTGAAGGTGGTCCCTGGCTGCTGCTGGTGGCTGGTCCCGGCTCGCTAGGTCCTGGGCATGTCTTGATTCTCAATAATCAGCTTGTCAGTTGAATACAGTTGGCCAATGTGGACCTGTCGACGAATTATTCCAAGGTCTCTCTTGGCTTTATTCACCTGGGTTTGAATTTCTACAGGATCCTTTACATTTTTATTTTCTCTGAAGGCATCTCTTATCCTCCTGACAGCATACGTTCTGTAATTGTAGGTGCTGAGACGCTTGCTTTCTCTCAGCATAGCCCGGTACAGATCTAACACTTGTGCGCGGCTGGAGGCTGCCATTTTGGAAAGAAAAAACAACTTTTATAAAGTATTAATTAAAGCTAATATATGTGTTTATATTGATTCTTATGCTTACCTTTCTTTTTTTGAGGTGGAGTCTTGCTCTGTGGCTAGGCTGGAGTGCAGTGGTGCAGTCTCTGCTCACTGCAACCTCTGCCTCCTGGGTTCAAGAGATTCCTTTGCCTCAACCTCCCAAGTAGCTGGGACTACAGGTGTGCACCACCACTCCTGGCTAATTTTTTGTATTTTAGTAGAGACAGAGTTTCACCAAATTGGCGAAGATGGTCTCGATCTCCTGACCTTGTGATCCACCTGCCTGGACTCCCAAAGCGCTATTATAGGCATGAGCCATGCCTAGCCAAACGCTGTCTAATCTTACTTGCTACAACTTCTTCCATCACTCTGACTCATAAATGTGCTAAGCACCTTGCTCTTCCCAGAATAAGCCACATTGTCACCTCTGCCACCTCATCTGCCATTTGAGTGACTGACCATATTATCCTTTTTTTTTTTTTAGAAACTGAGCGTTGGGGTGAGGGAGAGGAAAGGGGAAAAAAAGGTAAGAGATAATTGCCCAAATGCTAGTACTGGCCCCAAAACGGCCCAGATGGAAAGTGACCATTACCCCTAGCTTTCCTAGGACAGTTACAACCTCACATAAATTTAACACTATACTAAGATGATTTGTTAAGTGGATAACAAAATATGATTTAATGTGTGTACTTTTATAAGATTTTGCAATTATATGAATTTATAAATAAGGGAGAAAATTATTCATCAGACCAAGAATTCCAATTGTGGATTCAGAACAATACTGTCACCATATGCCACAGGCCAATTTTAATTTGGCTCCCACATTATGGCTAAGAGCTACTGTCAGCTTTGCCCATCCCGCAAATGGACTGACCATATTCTCATTCCTCTAGTCTCAGCTCAGAAGCTACCTCCTTTAGGGAGGCAAAGGTGAACACATGCCATCCTAAATTCTTCCACAGGATGGCATTAAAAAATTGTCATGACGTTTTCTGTTGTATTACAGCTGTATAGAAATCATCAGGTCTTACTGACCTGAGAGCTCCTTGAGAAAAGATGCCATGCTTCTTCATCTTATCACCCCCAGCTCATTGCACACCCTCCGGAGCACAGTAGACTCTGAGTGAAAACCTGCTGAGTCGATGATACATGGGTTTAACATGGTTTGGGGTTATTTTTATTATTTATTATTTTTACTTTTTAGACAGAATCACTCTCTGTCTTCCACACTGGAGTGCAGTGGCGCAATGTCAGCTCACTGCAACTTCTACCTCCTGGGTTCAAGTGATCCTCCTGCCCCAGCCTCTGGAGTAGCTGGGACTACAGGCTTGTGCCACCAGGTCCAGCTAATTTTATATTTTTAGTACAGACGAGGTTTCTCCATGTTGGTCAGGCTGGTTTCAAACTCTGACCTAAGGTGATCTGCCCACCTGGGCCTTCCAAAGTGCTGGGATTACAGGGTGAGCCACTGCGCCCGGCCGTAGTTTTGTATTACGCATAAAATGCTGACTTTCTTTTACTGTACATTTGGTGACAAAGAAGAGGGAAGACGGAGCCTCCATGATGAACATGCCTGGCTTCCAGGTAGCTCTTTCCTATTGGCACAGCTGCCAGCATTTCCCCGTGCAAACTTCCAGTTTGCTTATCTATGCAGCTCGATTTTACAAGCTGTTCTTTGTTAGAAAAGAAATGATTTGGGGGCTGCTTTTTGTTCAAAGGGAAGCTGTAATGAGAACTCTATCACCTTCACTATCTGCCTAAATAATTTCTTTTTAGCTTCAGTATCACCAGCTACTCTGGAGGCTAAGGGGGAGGGTCACTTGAGTCCAGGAGTTTGAAGCCGCAGTGAGCTATGATCATGCCACTGCACTCCAGCCTGGGCAACAGAGCAAGACCCTGTCTCTTAAAAAAAAAGTGAATATCATGAAAGACAAAGAAGGCTGTGGAAATCTTCCATATACAAAGAGGATAAAAAGTCATGCAAGCAAATGCAACATCTGACACTGCACTGAATCCTGTAGCAGAGCGAGCGATATGTTATACAGGGCATTATTAGACTGACTGACAAAAGCTAGAGTGTGGAAGGTGGATTCGATAAAAGTGTGATATCAGAGTGAATGTATGAGTTGATTATGCACTGTGGTTATACAAGATAATATCCTGGCCTGGTGCGGTGGCTCACGCCTGTAATCCTAGCACTTTGGGAAGCTGAGACAAGTGGAGGTCGTCTGAGACCTGAGGTCAGGAGTTTAAGACCAGCCTTGTCCACATGGTTAAACTCCCATCTCTACTAAAATTACAAAAATTAGCTTGGTGTGGTGTCACATGTCTGTAATCCCAGCTACTCAGGAAGTTGAAGCAGGAGAATCACTTGAACCCAGGAGGCAGAGGTTGCAGTGAGCCGAGATCGCGTCATTGTACTCCAGCCTGGGCAACAAGTGCGAAACTCCATCTCAAAAAAAAAAAAGGCATATTCTTATTCTCAGAAAATACACACTGAAATATTTAGAGGTAAAGGGTCATGATGTATGTAATACCCTCAAAATTTTTCAGAAAAATATACACATGTATACAGGTGTGTTAATGTATATCTATATGTATATATATGTAAATATACACACATACATACATATGTATACATGTGTTATGTGCTGAATCGTGTCCTCCTCAAACATCATATGTTGAAGTTCTAACCCCTAGTACCTTAGAATGTGACTGTATTTGGAGAGAGAGTCTTTAAAGAGTTACTTAGGTTAAAGTGACATCATTAGGGTGTCCAACCCACTGTGACTGGTCCCCTTTTATGAAGAGGTAACAGACACACAGAGAGGACAGAGCTGGTGAAGACAGAAGGAGAAGACAGCCATGGATGAGCCAAGGAAAGAGGCCTCAGAAGAAACCAACCCTTCTGATACCTTGGTCTTACACTCTGGCCTCCAGAATCGTAAGAAAAGAAATTTTGCTGTTTAAGCCATTCAGTCTCTGGTACTCTGTTAGGAGAGCACTGGTGGACCAACACTCCACACACACACACACACACACACACACACACACACGGTGTATATACAATATAAAGTCACACATACACACAGTGTATGTACACTATTTAGTCACACACACGGTGTATATACAATAGTCACACATACACATATGGTGTATATACAATATATAGTCACACATAGACCCACACATACACACACATGGTGTATATACAATACATAGTCACACATGCATACACATACACACATGGTGTGTATGCAATATATAGTCACACGTATATACAATATATAGTCACACACACATGAAGTGTTTATAATATATAGTTACATGTACGCACAGTGTATATACAATACATAGTCACATATACACACAAACGGTGTATATCCAATATACAGTCACACACAGACACACACACGGTGTATATACAATATACAGTCACACACACATATGCACACACACAGTATATAAACGATATATAGTCACACATGGTGTATATACAATATATAGTCTCACACACATATGATGTATATATACAGTCACACATACACTGTATATACAATATATAGTCACACACGGTGTATATACAATATATAGTCACACATTCACATGGTATATATATAATATACAGTTACACACACAGTGTATATACAATACATAGTCACACATACACACATGGTGTATACACAATATATAGTCTCACACATATATGATGTATATATACAGTCACATACACTGTATATACAATATATAGTCACACATATACACACACACACACACACACACACTAAATGCGAGTGAAAGCAGATGAAGTAAACAGTTTATAGATAATCTGGGTAAAGGACACGGGGTTGTTCCTTGTACTATTTTTATTTTGCAACTTTTTGTTATTTTGAAATTACATTCATATTTAGCAGTAAAAATACATAAATATTTAAAAATAAATACAAGTATACCATAATTACAAACATTAAAAGAACCTAATAGTGAAACAAAAAGATAAAATGGTTGCCTGAGGGCGGAGGAATTCTTTATTCTTCAAACATCCAACATCCTGTGATGTTATTTTATTGCTTTTTTACGTTGCTTTTTTTTGAGACAGAGTCTCGCTCTTGTTACCCAGACTGGAGTGCAATGGCACGATCTCGGCTCACCGCAACCTCCGCCTCCTGGGTTCAGGCAATTCTTCCCCCTCAGCCTCCTGAGTAGCTGGGATTACAGGCACGCGCCACCATGCCCAGCTAATTTTTTGTATTTTCATTTGAGACGGGGTTTCACCATGTTGACCAGGATGGTCTCGATCTCTTGACCTCGTGATCCACCCGCCTCGACCTCCCAAAGTGCTGGGATTACAGGCTTGAGCCACCGCTCCTGGCCCACGTTGCTTTTTAAATAAATTACATGCTGGGCATGGTGGCTTATGCCCGTAAACCGGCACTTTGGGAGGCTGAGACAGGTGAATTGCTTGAGCCCAGGTCTTCAAGACCAGCCTGGGCAACATGGCAAAACCCTGTTTCTACAAAAAATACAAAACAAAATAATTAGCCAGTGGTGGTGGCTCACGCCTATAGTTTCAGCTACTTGGGAGGCTGAGGTGGGAGGACCCCTTGGGCCCAGGAGGTTAAGGTTGCAGTGAGCCATAATCTTGTCTCAAATAAAAATAAACAATAATAAAAACTAGCTTTTATTTATTGGGTACATTATGTAGCAGACATGAACTAAACACTTTGTATATTTTATCTTATTTATTTCTTACAATAAGGCTTCAGTGTAGATATCACTATCCTCACTTAAATAAAATGCTCAGATGTTTTAAATAAGATGCTTTAAATAAGCACTTAAATAAGATGCTCAGAAAGTTTAAATAAAGTAAGTGCCCCAAGGTTATAGCTAATGAAAGTTATACTGTATTTTTATAATTTCTTTATTTACTGAGACAGAGTTTTTGCTCTTTCACCCAACCTGGAGTGCAGTGGTGCAATCTTGGC